GGGCTTCCTGGGTGGCTCAGTGGCAAAGAATCCACCTGCCAAGGCTTGCCACTTGCAGGAGGTATGGGTTCGCGCCCTGGGTCGAGAAGATCCGCCTGGAGAAGGAGATGGTAACCCACTCCAGTGTTCTTGCCTGGGAAATCCCATGGACAGAAGAGCTTGCTGGGTTACAGTCCATGGGGTTGCAAAGAGTTGGACATGACTGAGCACATATGCACATACGTTGATTCCCTGGCTGATTTTGTTTCATCCTTTAAGCTTCAGCTTAACTGTTACCTGCTCCGAGAGCTCTTGAATCAGTCTGCTCTAGAGCACCTCCTACTCCTTGCTCTGGTTCCACTATCGACTCTCCATCACGCACATGAACTTCTTATGGAGCACTTATCACCATTGATAATGGTCTTGGTCTTCAGCGCACTGACTGATTTGGGGTTTCCTCAAAGCCAAGAGCTCCAGGAGGGAGCCTGTTTACCTTGTCTTTCTAGTCTCTCTGAATTAAAGAATAAACCAACAAATAAAAATTGAGGAAGGAAAACAACTGAAATGAAGCTTCCTAATACAACAACATGTATAAAATTTCAACCATTTTTTAAAAATCAATTTATTTATTTTAATTGACCATTTTTTAAAACTTCTTTTTCTTCACAGCATCAACTAGCACTACCTATGAACTGTCCTGACCTGCTGCCTAAATATTCATTTCAATAGTCAACATTTTGACACCTCTCTCTTCATTGCATTACTCCCCAAGGCCTGTTGACTCTTGCATCTAATTATTTCAATCTTTTGTCCTAATCCCCTTTCTCAACACCAGCTCCAATTCTCCCAGTCAATACTCTGACTCTTCTGTGGATCACAGTAAAGGCCTCTTAACTGTTCCCTCACTGTCAGTCTCCACATATTCTATTCCAGACAGATGCATCTTCTAAGGTTACTTTAACCTATCAACTCACTTCCCCCTCCCCTCAAAAATTCCTTTGTTCTTAGTACAGTAGGTCCAAGCTTCTCAAAAACCAAATTATATTCAACTGTATTCTTCCCATCTGAATCAGTCAATAACATTTCCCACTACCTGGTTAAACAATTCCTCTGGTCTACTCGAATATTTCTCTGTCTTCAAAATAAGTCAGGCTCATTCTCTCTTGGTATCTTTGCTTAGCTATCTCACAGACTGGGAGGCTTTTATTCCCTCCACCAATCTAAACCAAAACATTTTCTTCAAAGCGTAGAAACTGAAACTCAACTTCTCTAATTAAGCTTTCCCCATTCTAGCCCACATGTTCTTTCCTTTTTCTCTTCTTTTAGCACTGAAACCATCATTCCATGTAATATTTGACTCTACAAGACTATTTCTGTTATTATCCCATTATTTCCTAACTGTAAATTTTATCTCCCAAATTAGATTGCAAACCAAAACTGTGTTCTTATCTCCTTTTACACTCCCAGCAGCAGCAAAAGTAGCATAGATTTCAGCGGGAGCTGCTATGTTGACTTGATTTACACAGTCCTAAAGATGAATCCCTTCAATTACAAACAACCATTTTGGATAGCCTGTAATTCCTAAATGGGCTTCCCAGACTGTTCAGTGGTAAAGAATCTGCCTGCAATGCAGGGGGTACAGGTTTGATCCCCGGGTGAGGAAGATTCCCCTAGAGGAGGAAATGGCAACCCACTCCAGTCTTTCTGCCTGGGAAATCCCATGGACAAAGGAGCCTGGCGGGCTACAGTCCATACTGTTGAAAAAGAGCTGGACATGACTGAGCAACTCAACAACAGCTCCTAAATAGCTCATACTCTCTGTTGCCCCTAATCTTTCCCACATGAACCCCCGATGCCTACAAAGCTCTCATTTTATTAATGTCTTTAATTACCTGAAGTGAAGTGTTAGTTATTCAGGTGTGTCCAACTTTTTGCGACCCTGTGGACTGTAGCCCACCAGGCTCCTCTGTCCCTGGAACTCTCCAGTCAAGAATACTGGAGTGGGATGCCATTTCCTTTTCCAGGGGATCTTCTAGTACATTCGCATTAAATGCTCTTAAGCCATAGCACCTGGCAGGCTATATGGTAAATGACAATTTACTGATCTCCCTGACTGGTCTGTGTGCCACTTAGGCCCAAATAATTTAGCTCTTATCTTTATAGTAGCAGACAAATCATGTTTTATTATTTACTGAATAAATCAATGAACAAAGATGTTAGTAACCTGTTTAAGGAATTAAGAATTTAGTGTAATAAGTTATCAACTTAATGTTATGTAATTTCCAACACGCTTTAGTTCATCTCATTTAGAATCTCCACCTGTTTTTTAATTCCAAAAATAATTATTAAGCATCCACTATGTGTCAGGCATTGGGGGATACAGAAAAGACTCAAACACACACAAAAATTCCTGAACTTGCATCTTACTAGATGACCTAAGCAATGGAGAACAGTATTTGCTCTGAATTAGTTGGAATCCAGAGACTATTTCTGAGCCGAAGGTTTCTCTATGCAGGGAGGCAGGCGCTGAGATGATGCTGGCTTGGGCCAAAATGGTGGCAGTTTGAATGGGGAGCAGTAGTTAAATTCTAGATCTCCTTTATAGGCATAGCCAGCAGGGCTGACTGATGAACTGGGAGTAAGGAATGAGAGAAAAAGAATAGTCGAGAATGTACGTTAGTCTGTGCCACTGTGAAATGGAATTTGTGAAGGGTGTGGAAGGGTATGGTTTTGGAAAGAGCATGTAGATATATGAAGAGATTCTCTTAAATTAGACTTAAATTTTAACATTCTCTTTTGTATAACTGAACTTCTCTTGAGCATATCTGTAATGAATAGTAAGGGTCACTCTGACTTCTTAGATAAATTGTCTATACTGAGTAGAAAAATCTGGGACAGTGTCAGCCAGTGCAGCTCCATGAAACACTGCCTGTATCAGACACCCTACAAAAAGCCACTGAAACGGATTCTCCCAGATGGTCTCAAGTTTATTGTTTAAACAACTAACACAATGCAGCTTAGTGCTAGAGGTTACAATTGCCTCAATTTCTAAAAACCATTTCAAAGGTCAGACAATTATTATCATTAGCAATATTAATAATTACACTGAATTTTATTAAATAATTACTTGGATGTCAAATGGAGACTTATGAAAAAGGCCAAGTGTTTATCTTGCCCTAGACCATAAAACTAGTCTAAGGTCAGAGGAGACTGCCTTGACCTTAGAGTAGAAGACCATGGAGTAAATGTCAGTGACCTAGAATGACTTAATCAACCTAAGATTAAAGCCTGAGGTAGAACAGCAAGAGATGTGGGCTGTCGGGGAGCTACCTAAACAACCTAAATAATCAGCTACTGTGCTTAATGGCTATGATTTGGGGTAAGGCTGGTAATAATGGTTTATTTTTTTTCATGTGTTGAAGTATATGTCTGCAAAACTTACTGAATTTGGGATTCAAAAAATGAGACTGTTTATAAACATAGGATGCAACAGTAAGTCTGTATAATGACTAAGTCTCTTGGAGAATAATTTAGTTGGTGGTCATGATGAGCTATAACGTGGACTTTTTGAGTTTTCACTGGGCAGAAACAAACCATTCTCACTCTGTCTGTGAGCTTTTTTTTCCTTCCAGACTCTAAGTAGTTTACACAATAAACAGTTATTTCCATAGTAGAAATGGCCAAGCTGTCTAAGCTCCATAGTTAACCTATTATTATGGTTAGAAATCAAGGTTGCCATTCTTCCAGATTTTCACAGCCACACAACTTTTGACCTAGCTGATGGAAATGTAAGAGTAAACATAGTTCTTTGACCTCTTAACGAAGGCAAACATCAACATGCTAAGGTATTTATTTCACTGGCAAGTGATTCAGCACAAAAAGGCATTACAGTGGATCCACATAATGACAGGACACTACAAATTCCTCTCAAAGGAAAATTTAAGCAAGAGCTTATCCATAAACTGCCCATGTTCTCTTATTCAGGACTTTGATAGAAGTACTCATTTGAAAACTGTAGGCACTTCATGATCTACCAATGACAAACAATAAAATTAAAGCCTTTAGAAAATTAATTCACGTGCCCAAATCAGAGGTCAGGCTCATGAGAGGAAATCTCATCACAAGCAGAATTCCTTTCGCACACATATTTTCTGCATTCCTGTGATGGGTCCCTTTTCTTCCCTTTGTTGAAAATTATGCTTTAAACCTACCTCCTTCCATGAAATAAGATAGCTGTAACCCCTCCCAATTCTCACAGCATGGGAAGCATAGCTCTCACTATGGGGTCTGCATTTATATCCTCGGAATATTTCTTGGGCACTGAAGAAAAACAGCAGAGAAACTGCCTACATGTCCCATTCTGCTGCCTGGTGGGTGCTGAATGGATGCAGTCAGTCCCAAAAAAGAGACCATGTTCCATTTTCAAACACTATGACATTCAACGTGATTAAAAGATAAAAGGTCAAGGGCTTAAAGTTTCATTCTTTTTGTAATCCTCATATTTCACTGTTAATTTTTTACAGATTGGTGTTACTGGAAAAACATAATGCATAAAAAGGTCTGAAGCAATCATAATAGACAACCACATAAGAATAGAACAATCTGCTAAAATGTAGAGTTAAATTTTATAAGTTGAACAAAGTGATATCCAATAAGAACTTCATCATTCTTTCTGTCCTAAAGAATCAAAGATGCAGGAAATTTTTAAACTACTTGTCCCCTCCACCAAAATCATCATGTCAAGCCATTTCTTGATGTTCTTGTCCATTAGTCAAAGGACTCAACTGAACTGTTCCCAAGTTTTGGGTGGATTTTAAACAACTCGGTATTCTGAATCAGTAATTCATTTTCATCATTCCTTTGTTCAAACTTTTAAACTCTCTTTTCAGAATCAATTTACTAGACTCTAGTTTTCTACCTTGAGAGGACCATTTTGACCAACTGTAAAAAAAATTTCAAACAAATGAATTTTAACTCACAAGCTGTACCAAAATTAAACAACAAAATAAGTTGTCTCCTACCTATGGTTGTAATAACAGTGCCAGCAAAGAAGAAGGAACTTCCCAAATCCCAGTGACTGATTTGATTGGAGGTGTTTCCTAAAGGTATAATCCCTGCATTTATTGCTGCCACTATTTGCTGCAAGTTTAAAAAGAAATTTATCAGTACACATGAATCACATGGAAGCATCAAACAGCATATATTCCCCCCCAGACAACCAATTAGTCAAAGAGCATCAACTCTAAGGTCTACTCTTCCATTTAAAGTATACACTATAGATTAAAACTTTACCCTAAAGAATTTAATACATTAAATTATAAGAAAAGTTTCTTTGATATCAAGAGAATGGATCTGCATAAAGTTTATCATATAGTGTTATGATATGCATTCATAATGTCATCCAGTACCATTGTTAGCAATTTATTTGAATTAACAACTAAATACAGCGATAAGTTTAATAAGCACCACTGAGTTAAAAATATCAGATTGCCAACTACAACTTAAGTAGTACATAATAGCTTCATCAAAAAAAAAACCAAGTTTTTCCAAAACGCTAGTCATTTTGGAAATATAAGTATCCAATATAAGTAAATATAAGTACCCAATCCTGGATTGTGTACAACAGTATAGAGTATAAAATCAGTTGTTATTCAATCGCTACGTCGTGTCCGACACTGCGACCGCACGGACTACAGTGCACCAGGCTTCCCTGTCCTTCACCATCTCCCGGAGTTTGCTCAAACTCATGATAAAATCAGTAAGGTCCAACAAAACAGGCTAAGATGACAAGGAACAGGCAATTGCCCTTCACCATCAAGCTTAAGTCAATCCATTGATATCGAGATTCTTAGAATCTCTACGGATTTTTATAAATTCTATGACAGTGTACATCACCAACGACTTGTAAATGACAGTCAACAATATTCATACAGGAACACTGGAATCTAGATGCTGCCTTGAGTAGTAATACTGGGAGACGGACAGAAAGATGATATCATAATCCCTTCTCAATCATCAGATGTTAGGGAGGGAAGACAGAGTTCCAGAAACACAAACACAGAAGAGAATAAGGAGAAAATGTATAGTGAAAGAGATACATATAGATTGTGGCAAAAGACGTTTCTGTTGGAAATATAGTTTTTAAATATTTATCACGTAATTTCCAGATTTTAAAATTGGAAGGAACTTCATTTGATAGGCAAGGAAATTAAAGACCTAGAGAGGTAAACTGACTTGTTTAAAGTCACACAGTTTATTGGAAAATGGACAAAAACTACACTGGGAAAATGGACGTGCTACCCAAAGAACTTACTGTCAGATGTAAAAGAGCAGGTGACCTCGAGCTGAAATGCAATATAAAATTTCACTTGTTTGACTTGTCTTAATCTATAGGTTGAAACTTCAATAGTTAATTGAATTGTAAGCTTTTATTTACTTTAACAACAGTATGTATTCATTGCTTAAAAAGTTTAGGAAAATACAGAAAGGAATAAAGAAGATAATACAAATTATTCATAATTCCTGAATTGAGAGACAACTACAGTTAATGTATTAAGGTGTCTACTCCAGGCATTCATACATACATAGCCAGACTTATGCACTATATGAAATGTATTCTCTATTTTTATTTAATATTATTCTACATGTGGTTTTCCTTGCAATTATCATATTTACTTAATCATTGCCCAATATGTAGACATACATGCTGTTCTAAAATTTGTCTTATTATAACTTGTCTTATTATAAAAACTGCTGTTATGAACAAATTTGTGTATAAATATTTTTTCATTTCTGAATATTTTTGCAGAAGAGATTACTAGAAATAAATTTGCCACATTGAAGATTATGAATATTTTAAAGCACTTGATGTATAGTAGCAAGTAGCTATCCAAGAAGGCAGTTACAATTTATAATTTCCCCCACAGCAATTTACAAATGCAATTTACCTCTAATATTAATAACCTATCTTAACCGAACTGATAGGAATTATTTACATTTATGTGTCCTTTATTGCGAGCGAAGTTGAGTGCTAATGTTTCCTTTAACATATACTAAATGCACATGAATATACATATGTACACACATATGCATAGCACACAATAAAGCTAGCTGTGAGATCACTGATTTTCTTTATCTGACTCTCTACTATAAATATAATATCAGATAAGCAGGTCTTCCTGATAATCCTCCTTTGAAAAATATTTTTTGCAGCTACTAACCTATTATTCTCACATAAACTTTAGAATTATTTAGTTAAATTTTATAGCAATTTTCATTTTCACAGGTTTAAAATATTTTTGCTGTTTCGATATGTGTGTAATCTATAAATTAAGTAAGGAAAATGAATGGGATAGTGAAACTTCCCATCAAACAACATGGTGTGAATCTTCAATTTCTGAATCTCCTTTCATATTCTGAAATAAGAGCATTTTTTATTATACTTCACATAGACCTATAAGGCTATTTTTAGATATTTTACTTTTTTTCTGTTTTAAATTACAATTGGTTATTGCATTGTACACACAAATATGGGCTTCCCGGGTGGTTCAGTGGTAAAGAAACTGCCTCCCAATGCAGGAGACACAGGTTCAATCCCTGTGTCGGGAAGATCCCCAGAAGAGGACATGACAACCCACTCCAGTATTCTTGCCTGGGAAATCCCATGGACAGAGGGGCCTGGCGGGCTAGTCATAGGGTCACAAAGAGTAGGACACAACTGAGTGACTGAGCATACACACAAACACAAATATATATTTCCCTTCTCTGAGCCAGCAACTCTCAAATTTTTTATCTCAAAAACAACTTACAGTCTCAAAAAATATTGCAGACATCTAGGAACATCGGAATGTGAGTTACAACTATTGATACTTATATATTTGGTTGAATTTCTAACTTGCAAATGTTTTGATTAATCCACATAAAAATAATAATAAGTGTTAACACATTTTTATGAAAAAGAATTATGTTTTCCAAAACAAAGATTTAGTGAGAAGATAGGCATTGTTTTAGGATTTTATAAATCTCTGAAATGCCAGGCTTAATATAAAACAGTTACATGCTAATATATGCTTCTGCATCCAATCTGGAAAACAATATGGCAACTCCTCAAAAAATTAAAAACAGAACTACCATACAATTCAGCAGTTCTACCTCTTGGTATTTATCCAAAAAACATGAAAAACACTAAGTCAAAAAGACACATGGACTTCTATGTTCAATTCAACATTGTTTACAATAGTCAAGATATGGAAGCAAACTGAGGGCCCATCAATAGACAAATGGATACATGTACAATAGAATATTACTCTACCATAAAAAAGAGTGAAATCTTGCCATCTGCAAAATGAATGGACCTAGAGGGTATTATGCTAAGTGAAATTAGAAAGAAAGAAAAATACCATGTGATTTCACTCATAAATGAAATTTTAAAAATAAACAAAGCAAAACATAAACAAAAGCATAGATACAAAGGACAAACTAGTAGTTGGTAGAGGGGAAAGGGGAGGGAGCTGAGTAAAATAAATAAACGGGATTAAGAGTACAAACTTCCCTATAAAATAAATAAGTCACCAGGGTGTAATATATAGCAAAAATTTCCTTATAAAATAAATGTCACAAGGATGTAATATATAGCAAAAGGAATATAGTCAGTAATACTCTAATAATTTTGTTCAGAACAGGAGGTTACTAGATTTATCAGGATGATTATTCTGTAATATATTTAAATGTTGAATCATTATGATTTACAACTGAAAATAATATAACGTTGTATGCTAACTGTACTTTAATTAAAAAGTATATCTTCAACATATTCATTTATTCAAAAATATTTACCAATTGTTTATGGCGCTAGGCAATGAGGAAACAACAGAGAAGTAAAAACATGGGTGACACAATTGAGAAAAGATAAGACATGTCTGTAGATTCCACTTAATTAAGTAAAATTAATTATTTTACTCACTGGAAGCCAGCTAATCCCTCCAACAGTTGACAATATAACATTCATAGCCAGCGTCATCATTTTAGTTTCTTGTTTTGCTTGTCGATTACAAGGTTCACAGCATTACCCAGACAGCTGGATAAATTCCACAAATTATTTAAATCCAAAAGAAGCACATGTAGACTTAGAGACAGTAATGTCTGGCAATGTGTGGGTTGTAAATAGTTGTCACAGAGCTGTGATTATTGCAACAGAGGCTTTAGATGGAACCAGGAACATGTCAAATCACTGTGAGAATGAGTCTACCATGAGGTCCTTTCTCTGAAATAGTCTTGTAAATTTATTTTATCTATTGGTACAAGGTCCCTTGGTCAACATCCAAAGGACATCAGATGCCCTTGGCCAGGGCACTGGCACAGACCTAAGAGTCTCTGTAATTTCAGTGTCAGTTCAGGCCATCAGAGCACTTAGCAAATGCCTTCCTGAGAAGTGTTCCTGTATGTATCAGATTATGTGATTAAAGCCACAATCACCTCATGTACAATAAAAACTCCCTTTCCCACTAAAGACAACTTTTGTGGACAACCATATTGACAATTTATGAATATATTGTATTTTTTAGGTTAGGGTAAAGGAAATGTACGATCCTCTGCATTTAATCCTAACATATTATTACCTGAAGTATTGATTAAGAGAGGACTTCCAAACATAAAACCTACAATAGAAATAGTATAAAATAATCTTCGATGGATTCACACTCAATTTTGCTTTTCAGTTCATCTACAATCATAAAACGTGCATTAAGAAAAGGCAGTTGCATTAAATATATATATATATATATATACACCCACAAAGTTACAAAAAAACTGTACAAATCTAACAAAGTAAATATATATGTATAGTGGAAAAAAAAATGAAATGAAAGGCAGTTGCATACATGATTCTATTCAAGAACAGGAACTTAAACTTAAGAAACAGAGCTCTGAGAGTCTTATACTCCTAGAGTTGATAAAGGTAATTGCTCTTAAAAGTAATTATTAAAAAAAAATCTTGGTTTCCATGACAATAATGGCTTTAGAATCAAAGTTCATTGAATTCTAATGGGAATTTGTGCATTCTTGAATTGTACTGTTTATGTCTCAATGTCATCTGGCATTTTGGAACTGTATCGAGTTTTAACACCAAACCATGCTAAGAC